CCACCACTTTTGTCTGTCAAGTTCACCATTTGGTAACTCCCTTGATGTGGGAAACTCCCTTGTATGCTGTGATACCATTGGTTAATAAAGAAGCTGCTTTGGACCTATTACAGCACTGAATAGGACAAGGCAGAAATTCCAAGCAGATAGAGGAGAGAGTACATGGAGACAGATGCTGCATACAGGACAGAACCTTACTGGTAGGCCATAGCCATGAGGCAATACACAGATTAATAAAAATGGGTTAATTTTTTTGTTTGTTTTTTGAGAAAGAGTTTCTTTGCAGCTTTGGAAGCTTCCTGGAACTAGTTCATGTAGACAAGCTGGCCTTGAACACACAGAGATTCACCTTCCTCTGTCTCCTGATTGCTGGGTTTAAAGATGTGTGCCATCACTGCCCAGCTAGAAATGGGTTCATTTAAGATATAAGAGCTAGCCAATAAGAAGCATGAGCTAATAGGCCAAGCAGTGCCGTAATATTAGATTCTGTGTGATTATTTCAGGTCTGGGCAGTCAGGAAACAAACAAGTGGCCTCCAATTACACCCCCAACCATTGAGCTTCATAAAAATCTTGTCTCCCACACCACCAATACTTACCACTCACTCCTCACCTGAGGGGGAGACACGCCATGTACACAAATAAAAAAAATGCTTTGATTAATTTGGTCATGAAGATTTGTGTCAGTGATCTTTCTTCTCCAATCTCTGGGATTAACATGTACTGTAAATAAGATAATTAAAAATGCTGAATGCAAACTAATTTCAATATGAGGAAGTAGTCAATTATTTTAGAAAGTGTCATGCTGTTTATCTGAAATAAAGTGGATTGAAAAAAAGAGGGGATGCTAAATGAACTAAGAACAGAACACTGAAAAATGCTATTTTCCTAAATGAGATAATCTTGCATGGCCTCTGGTGGCATCGTGGGCAAGTGGTGTTAACATGGCTTGAAGAGGCAGTACAGACCATGGCCCAAGCCATGAACATCAGCATGGCCTCCAGTGGTAGCACAGACCTCAGAAGCCCACAGAGCCCCTGGTGGTAACAGGAGTCATGGTATCCACGTGGCCCCCAGCAGCATCTCAGTCTACAGACACTAACATGGCCTCGGGGGACAGCACAGACTACTAATATCAACATAGCAGTGCACAGACCAAGAACACCCATATGGTCTCCAGAAACAGCATTGTCCATGTGTGTCAACACAGATTTGTCATGGTTCAGCCTCGACAAAAATACCTCTTGCCAGGGTCGGGGTATGGGGGTTAGAAATATGAGACTATGAAGACACATGGAAAATAATAATACAGGAGCCATAGAAAATTACCAGGAGGGTATTTCAGTGAATACTGAAATAACCCACATTTATTTTTTCCCAAAGTTTTTATACCCAATACAAATGGGTGTAGGGAGGTGGAGAGAGAATGTAACAAAAAACTTTGTATACTTGATAGAAAGGACAACTCAAACAGTTAATTCCTTTAACAGTTTGAGACATCAAGTCATTAGCATTTGGTTGTTTAATCTGTGAAGCAGCCTTAGACCATGAATCCTGAAGACAGCGACTGCCCAGGTGACCTCATAGTTATAAAAGAAGGAGCAGAAGTACATTTGCATAAACTGACCACCTGTCAGGATTGAATGGACCTACTTGTATGGCCTATCTTAAAGTCAAAACAATTAAATAATCACATGCTGTGTGGGACATGCTAATATGCTTGTCAGCTACTTTGAGAAACCTACAACTCCATAACCATCAGACGAGGTGGAACCAGGCTCACATTTTTGGGCCTCCACACAGCCTGTAGAGAAAGACAGAACAAATACAGCTGCAGCCATAGCACGCACCATGTACAGCAACATGGCATGTGGTGGCAGCACACACCATGGAGGTTTTTTGAGATGGCCCAAACCATAAAATACACTACTCTCCGTGGGCATCCCGCCATTCCTCAGAGACAGGCTGGTCATGGGGGTGCATTAGGGGGCAGAGCCTGTGAGAGATCCAGGCTGCTGTTTACCGTCCTGCCAGTGCTAGGTTTTTTGAGGTCCAATCAAGAAAATAAAAAGGTCTCCATTACAGACATACTGATGTTTCTCAGAGTGAGGGTGATTGAATGTGGCGGTTGGATTAATGAGGACCAATGATAATAGGTGTTTGGACAAGTTTAATGACAAAACCAGACTCACAAAACCAAGGTTCCAGAGGAGTACCCAGAGTAGGCAGGAAGGGGCGCGCAGATGCGCGCCCAATTTATCAGTAAACATACGCCGGAGGGCAGCCCGCCCCAAGGGGAGGGCTTATCCCTACATCTCCCTCTTTTTGTCTAAATAAGACAGAACTAACCCAAATACAACTATAAACAATAATAATAAATAATAGCACCAGTCTGGGATATGCTCTTGTTGCCCAGAGACAAGGGGATCTTTCAGATAGGCAGGGCATCTGGGGACAGAATCTACTGGAGCTTCAGGTCTCTGCACATCTCTGTGCCCTCAATGAAGGCACCTTAGGTATGACCATCACACCTGCAGGCTGAGGGCAGTTGCACAGCAGTGGAGATTCCAGGTTGAGAACAAGAAAAAAAGAAAAACCCACCCTACGAGTCACCATCTTAAATCAATCTTCAAATATTTTTTAAAAGGTTCTGATAACAGAAATTACATACATGCCAAGGCACATTTACTGGAGAAAGAGCCATTCTTTCAGCCACTCTTCCCTGACTTTCTAACAGCAGGGCCTCACTCCAGCTCTGGCTTGGGTTGCAGCAGCTGTGGCATCCATGTCTGAGGCTCCTCCTTGGTGACTACAGACCTCTGGTGCAGCCTGCTGCAGGATTCCCAGGGCCATGGGGAGAGAGTACAGGAGAGACTCCACTCCTCTGTCTCCCTCTAGCCCTCTACAGGAGCCCTGTGTTTCACCCATCTTGACTCAATCCTGTCACTGTTTGTTTGTTTGTTTGTTTGTTTGTTTGTTTGTTTTGAGGGGGGGTTGAGAAAGGATTTCTGTGTGTAGCTTTGGAGCCTGTCCTGGCTCTTGTTCTTTAGACTAGGCTGGCCTCAAACTCACAGCAATCCACCTGCCTCTGCCTCCCAAGTGCTGGGATTAAAAGCATCTGCCACCACTGCCCAGCTCCTCTCTTCAATTTTAACAGTACCTGTCATTCAAAGGAAAAGCTAATGAAAAAAATTTCATTGTCTGGCCATAAATGTGGGGGTCACTAATACTGATGTGTTTGTAATTCATATGGCCAACCCATAGCAAAACACTTACTTAATTTAGAATCACCCATACTCTCTCAAGTACCCGTAAGTATAGACGTCTGTGATAATTTTCACCAATGATGTCACCACAGAATATGAATTGCTTGTTATATTTATTTAAGATAAAAAAATGCTGTAACTATAGATGATATGTTACAGATCTCTCATGATGACTTTGACACACTCTCTACACAAGCTGTGAATCTACTAAAGTATAGATTTGGGCTTGCTACAAATCCACATCCTAGGTATGTAGTCCCTGCTACTGCTGATCCCTCTGTCACTCAGGTAGGCATGGTTTCCAACTCCTCGGATGAGTGTCCTAAAACAAAATAAAAACAAAATGTCTGCAGAGTCGGCCACTGCATTTCCTCCAGCAATGATATCTCACTCTTGTCCACTGCTTGTTTATAGCACGAATCACAGAAAGGCAGAGGCCATGAGGAATCACCAACACTAGTGTTACACCTAGTGACTTTTTCATTCTCAGGGTTCCACTTGGTTATCATTCCTTTGTCACTCATCCATGTTGGACCCTGTACTGTGTGTACAAAGCATTTGACTGCTGCTCTCTGCCATGTTCACATGAACTTCATTCAGCCATGGGTAGCATTGCAAGGGGGTTTTCAATTCTATCTTGAAGAATTTCTCACATGTTCGAAAGGGGGTGAAAATGCACTTAGTTAATTCTAAAGGTCTTTAATGATGGACATTCACTGTTTCAGAGAATGGGTCTGTTCAAAATGGCTATGCTCACATCCAAACACTGTCCTGGGTGCCCTTTGATGATGAGAAGGTTCCCAAAACGCATGAAGTCTCTGCTTCAGTGACAGAAGCAGCTGTGCGCACAGCTGTTTGACAAGTCCTATCCAGCAGTTCTGCAGTGGATTCCTGGGGATTCAGAGCCCTTAGTGGACATCAGCAGTTCTGTCTGCATCCCACAAGGGCAGTTATCTACAAGGAGAGATTTCTAAGTGCTGAGAGCAGACAGCATCTTCCCCAGATGCCATCATCAGGCTAAAGATTTGGAATGAAACAACACTAGGTGACTCTGACAGATGTAAATTTGCCAAGATGTGGATACTGGGGACTCTATGTAACATACAACCAGACCCAAGGCACACCTCCAGCCCAAGGGTTTCTCCCTTTCAAGTTGAGTTCTCTTTATATTACTCAGCCTTTCAGCTTGCACAACAACTCACACAATCACAACACTTGAACACAGTAAAAGAAAAAGCTTTCTGAAAACATACAAGTTGTTATATTCAGTGTTGTCTGTCCACATCCAAGGCTGCTCTGATGACTCTCTGTGCAGTCCGATCCACGCAGCAGAATGCCCATATGTTCTATTCAGGAAATCCTGTCAAAAACACAGAAAGCAAAGACATGTGTCTCTCAGTTTCAGATGAGCCTTGAGTCTCTGTCCTACAGCCTCCTCTTGGGATGGTAGCAGGTTTGAACTGAGGGCCAGGAACTTTAGAGCCTAAATAACCCTCAGTTCTCAGTGAATGCATTTTCCTGTCATTAACCGTAGTAAGCTGACAGATACCCCTTTTTCTGGGGCTGTAAAAGTCCCTTGTTAAGTCTGTATTTACAGTTATTAACAGCTGTTAACTTAAGTTTGCAACACCCGCCGGCTCAGACAAAGACTTGTATGACCACCATGAATCTCAAACGTATGTTTGGCCTTGCACGTTGAGTATTATTAGCACTATAGGAGAGAATATCTTTGGAATGTCTCAGCGCTACAGTCAGATGTGTTACCATCACAAATGGCACATGCTAACATGTACCCCATGTGCCCAATGCCTAGGGTGGAAACCTTACTCATGTTCCTGCTTTAAGCTCTCTATGGCAAGGCAAAACATATTCCACAAGTGATGTGGGATTGATTTCTTATTAATAAAGAAAATGCCTAGGCCCATTTGATAGGCCAACCCTTAGGTAGGTGGAGTAAACAGAACAGAATACAGGGAGAAAGAAGCTGAGTCAAGGAGTCGCCATGATTCTCCTACCGGACACAGATGCAGGTTAAGATCTTCCCTGGTAAGACACCTCGTGGTGTTACATGGATATTAGAAATGGGTTAGATCGATATGTAAGAGCTAGCCAATAAGAGGCTACAGATAACGGGCCAGGCAGTGTTTAAAAGAATACAGTTTCAGTGTAATTATTTTGGGGCATAAGCTAGCCACGCAGGCGGCCTGGTGGCGGTGACGCAGCCTTGCTGCTCTTATCACAACACACATCAGCAAACAACAAACCAACTCCTGATCCTTTCTTACCAGCTCCTCCAGATTGTCAAAGTGAGTTAGATGGGCCACCTGCTCCATGCAGGAGGTCTGGCTGGATCTCCAGTTACTTGTGTTTTCAGACAAATAAAAACATTTACGTCCAAATGCAATCCAGTCTTTTGGGCAGGTAACATTCCCAGCTTCAGGGCTCACAATGGCCGGGTTTTCTTCTCTCCCTAAAATAGACCCAATGCAAATACATATCATAAATAAACATATCTGTGTCTCATCTCTTTGGCTAAGCATTCACTCTCCACTGTGAGGTGTGTGTTTGACTGTAGCTTTCATTACTGATCACTAAGAGACTCCTCCTAGCATGGTGGTTTCCCATCAAGAACCTTCATGTAGGACTCTAAGGAAATACTTCTCTTCTTTGTATTTTGAGTTTGCAGACAGAATCTCTCTGTGTCCCCCTGCCTGGCCTGGATCTCACTCTGTGAACTATACCTATCTGAATGCATTTTATAGCCCTATTCATTGTTTATGGGCCCTTGCTGCATCCTGTTCTTCCTTGTCACCTTACATCACTCTTCCTTGTTCTCCTGTCTACATGTTACACCACGCTCCACTCAGAGCTGATCACACTGTACATTATAGGCTGGGACATGCATAGGAGGGAGTGCATGGGGTCTCTTTCTTTCAGAATTCCTGGCTGTGCCTCCTGAGTGCAGGCACTAAAGACACCATACCCTAAACAACTCATAGTCATTATCCTACTAGGACTCTTCCTGATGGCTGGAATTCTACAGGTTCCTTTCCTATGATCCTGCATCACATCCTGCTTTTGTAATGACCAAATAGAGAAAATGCCTCACTTCTCTGGATTTGAATATGGCAAAATACCAGCATGCACAACATGGCGTGATCTAATAGTTTTTGATACGAAAACTTTGATTGAGGCCTTCCTGGTATCATGTCATGTATACACTAAATCCATATGAATGTATGCTGACTCTCATTAGAGGCTTTCAGAATGGCAATTATCAAGGAATCTCACAGCAGATGTCAGAACTCTGCAGAAATAGGGAGACTTATTCACTGTTGGTGGGAGTATACACTGATAAAGCCAGTATTGAGACACCTTTTGAAAGTTACAAACAGACCTTTTGGGACTCAGCTATGCCATTCCTGGGCATATGTGAGAGAACACTACATCATAACACAGAGACCTGTACATCCATGTCTACTGCTGCCCCGTGTACAATAGCAGCAAAATGGATCTGACCTAGATGTCCATCAACTGATGAACAGATAATGAAAATGTGGTACATGTGTAAAGCAGAAAGTTATTCAGACATAAAGAAATTGAAACTTGTAGAAAAGTTGGGAATCTACAAAGTAAAATATTAAATAAAGTCACACAAGCTCAACAAGATAGAGACCCCATGAACTCCCTCATATGCTTGTCCCTGCCTGGAATGCACAATGTGAACAGCGGTGAGTGTGGGCATGGTGTAACACTTAGACAAAAGAACAAGGAAGGGTGGCAAAAGATGACAAGGAAGGACAGGATGAAGCAAGGGCCCATAAGCCAATAATAGGGCTATAAAGAGCATTGTTTTTCTAGTTTCAACTTTCCTGGTATTTTTGCCAATTTGTGGCTGATAAGTATATAAAAACGCAAATACAGTGAAAGTCTAAAACCATAACCAAAGCTTTATGGCTTCAGAATGTCTTTTCTAACTGTGTGGAAGTTGAGTGAGATATACAAGATTTGGGACTTGGCCAGTGTTTGAGTGGCTATGCTAATGGAGCAGTGTGATGTGTTCATTTGTGGATCTATCACGATAGAGTAATGTGTGTGTGTGTGTGTGTGTGTGTGTGTGTGTGTGTTTGTGTGTGTAAGAATCTCCAAATGCAGGACTTGTGAAAAAGTAATATTTTTCTTTCATAAATTTGCCTTTTTCTTCAAATAACAGATAAGAACAAATGCATGCCTCTTTTCAAGTGCTAGTGAACCTAGAAATAAGTGATTGATAAGAAATATTAAATACTAGAAACGACCCACACACATTTTTTAGTGGAAGGCAATTTGGTGTAGCCGTCGCCAGCTCTTATGCCCAGTACCACGAGGCTTTAATGAAAGGAACAAATGCAACGGCACTGAGGACAACTGCCAATTCTTTTTATCTCAGTCTTTTCAGAGACACATAACAGTTTAGGTTACACTGCCTAAGTCTTGTGAGCATGTGTTTCCATGTTTGACTTGTGTATTATTCATTGCCGTGGCTAACGTTGACTTTATAAAACAATATCATGAATTATTTAATCCACCTATTGCAAGAAAGTTGTAAAATTTTATCACATTATTCAGAATAGTCTAAAACTAGAAGCTTGGGATAACATATGTCTGGAATAATCTACTTAGTATTTTCACACCATAGTTGAAGATGTTAACACAAACCATGGGTTATGGGGGTTTTCAACCTCCCCAACCATACCATTCTTCACTGCCCTCATTGCCCCTAGCTCTTCCTTTGAGTTTTCCTCCCCTTGATCTCTGCCTCAAATAGTTTCCCCAGGTGAACATGTCTCCTGCATCTCTCTAGAGGTTGCTGAATGTGCTCTTCCCAGTGATGCTGAGCCTGGCCTCCCGTGCACACCACAGTCTGTGTTGTTCCTTCACTGCATCTTCCACCTAGACCCTAAGTTCCCAGAGAACAAGAATTTCCCATGTGTTTTCTCTCTGCCCTTCCCACAGTGCCTGCCTCTCAGGGCTCAGTAAGTGTAACTGACAGTGTGGATGTGGACAGAATGCTGCAGGATCTGGAGAATGTCACTCACCTGACAAAAAAACAAAAGGTGCAATCACAGTGAGGACAATGATCACTGCACAGAGGCAGCAAAGCCTAGCAGGAGACACAAGGGAGACAATTCCAAGACATTTTTCTTGGATCTTTTTACCTGAAAAATATTAATATAAGAATGCCAACTTGGAGAATTTCTTAAAAAAAAATTAAAGAAAATTAGCACAAACATCCACTTACAATCCCCTACATATATCTGAAAGAGTGCTGCAAACCCCTTTCAAAGAAGGCCCTGGTCCATAAGGGATGGCCATGGCAGAATGAAGACTAGAGATGCTAGAAACAGAACTTCCCTGGGGTCTTCTGGTTACTGAACTAAGGGAGTATTATGAAAGGGCAGGAACCTAAAGGAGTGAGGATCACAGTGAAAAACAACAACAGTCAGCTGGATTTCTCTTCAGAAAGTGCTCTGGTTAGGAGTAGTGAAAACATTAGGGAAAACTCAGTGTAAATAGACCTATTAACACACTAAGGAAAGAGAAAAATAGAAATATCAGTGCACAGCAAAATTATGCAAGAATAGGAATTAGAGCAACTTCCTCAACCCTATAAAAGTTATCAATTAAAAACAAAACAATAAATCCAACTACACTCTGCTTCATTTCCAAGGGTGCAGTTATTAATGCTTTCCCAGCAATCAGGAGCAGGAGTAGGATGTCTGCTCTCTGTTCCAGGATGACTTCACAGGAGATCCACCAAGGGTAAAGAAATAGGGTCACGAAGCTGCAAAATTCCTCAGGATTTAAAATGACTCTTCCACAGGACACAGGTTCAATTCCCAGTGCTCACATGGTAGCTTACAACTGTGTCAACTCCAGTTCCAGGGGACTCATCACCCTCTATAGGTACCAGGCCTTCATGTGTTTAACAAACGTGCAGGCAAAAGAGCCATATACATAAAATGAGATGTTTTTTTTTAATTTTTATTACTTTATAAATAATACCATTCAAAATTTCCACTTCCTCCAATCCTCCCACTCCCACCCTCCTCCCTACCCCTCCCGTCCTAAGAGGGGGAAGGGTACCCTTAAAGAAAGAAAGAAGGTTTATACATCTTAAAAACAGAAGAAGTGTTTCTCATCACAGATGACATGGTTCTACATCATCACAGATGAAATGGTAAAAATTTTAACAAATCTACAAAAGACTACTGGATGTAAAAAATGAGTCTACAAAAATGTATGACACAATGTCAGCATGGTGAATTTAGCTGCATTTTCCTGTCCAATGGGAATTAATGTCTAAAACAACACCATTTACAGTAATGCCAAAACCCATAACATGAATCTAAAAAAGTTCATAATCAAAAACTACATTTAAAATTATGAATAAATCAGGACAAGGCTGGAGAGTCAGCTCAGTGGTTAAGTTTTTCTTGCAGAGAACTTGGGTTTGATTCCAGAACCTATACAGTAGCTCACAATTATCTAGAATTCCAGTTTCAGAAATCTGACACCCTTTCCTAACTTTGGTGGGCACTAGGAATGCATGTGATGCACAGATATTTATGCAGGTAAAACACCCATATGCATAATTTTTAAAAATAAAAAAAAGGAAAGAAATCAAGGCACGTAATTGTTGCAGGATATTTGTTCACACTGGCATTCCAAGACTGCTAATAAGGTTTAACATTGAATCAGGGGTGTAGCAGGCAACGAGCAGACCAGAATTAGTAGTTGAAGTCTTGAAGGAGCAAAATAGAGAGACATTGGAAGTAGTAGGAAGGGACTGAGAAAGATTCATGAGCCCATTTGGATAAGGAAAGAAGAGAGAGAGAAATTCACTGGTTGCTTCTCCATTGCTTCTCTGATCAATCAGGTTTTCTGGTAAGTACAAATAACCCAGTAGTGAATAACTCCGTTGATACAATAAGTCAGATCAGGACAAAGTACTAAGCCCAGGTTTATTCTGAGCAAAACATAACCGAGTAGTCGAGAAAATAGTACAAGCCACATGGGGAATTATATGGGCCAGACCTTAAATATCCTCAGGGGTGGAGCCGGTACTTGGCAGG